TATTTTTAATTAGTAAGACAGCAAAGACAAGGATGCATTAATTTAAAATGTAACAGATTTCTATTTCATATAGCACAACTTTTTTCAATGATGATAGGAAAGGTTTAAATAAGAACAGCAATGATGCTTCTATACCTTTCAGCTTTTCTTTGCTATAAGGTGGCATTGTCTTCTATGTCCTCGGCAGAGAACAAGTATTTTGCTCCTCAGAAAGTGTTAGCATTTGGTACAGCTACAATGGTGAGATCAGTTGTTGTTGTTGTTTATTTTTTTTGTTCAACAATTTAATTATTCAGTTTAATCTGTTACCTCAGAACCTCAGGTGCCCACAAAAGATAAGTGATACTTGTTAAAAAAAAATCAATGGATATTTTCTTTCTTTTTTTTAAAAATAGATAATTTAAAAATAAAGAAATAATTTTGCCCAGAGCAATTCTTTCTTAACCGACTGTCTTGCTATTTCTTTGATATGTAATTAAAAAGCCAATGCTCTCTTCAATCAGGGCCATTATATAGAGGGTATAAGTTTGAAACTATTCAAAAAGCTAAGATGCGTGCGAAAAATATGACAAGGGATAATTTGTTACAAAGAAATATGTACAAAGTAGAAAATTCTAATAAGGTCTATTTTGTAACAAAATATAATAGGAATGCTGAAAAAATTAAATTATTCGAAAAAATTGGGGTATTCTACAAAGTGATGAATTGCTGAGAAATATATTTCTAGATCCTCCAATGATTAGTTTTAGAAAATGTACAACCTTAGGGGACAAATTAGTACATAGTTATTTACCACCCAACCATGTAAGTTCTTGGTTAGGGAATAAACCTAAGGGTTGTTTTAAATGTCATCACTGTAACCATGTGATAATGTGGTACAAGGTAAAACATTCTTAGATGAAAATACGAATAAGGTCTATTGTATTAGACATTTTATTAAGTGTCAAACTACCCATGTTATTTATAGACTAGAATGTCCTCAGTGTAAGGTGTTTTATGTTGGAAGAACAAAAAGACGATTACTGGATCGACTGGCTGAACACAAATATGCCATCAGGAGGGGTAATGATGAATATCCTATGGTAAAACATTTTAAATTAATGCATAATAGTAATCCTTCGAGACTCAACATCCTTAGAATACAAGCTATTGATCATATAAACATTACTATTAGGAAAGGCAATAGAGAACTTAAACTTAATCAAAGAGAGACATTTTAGATTTATAAATTAAAGGCCAGTATGTATCCAGGATTAAATGAGGACTTGGATTTTACTCATTTTTTTATAAATTGTTTTCTCTCTCTTTGAAGTAGTATTCTTGAGTATGAAAATATACTGTATTTTTTTTAGTGTGAAAATTGCTGTCTTTGTGAATGTGTAAAGCTATAGAGAGTTGTTGGTCACATGACGAGTATGATCAGATGACTTAATGAGTGACAGTGCTGTCACCAGGCTGTGCTAAGCTTGTTGTTTGCTCTCCCTGAAGAAGGCTTGTGCCGAAACGCGTTGGAGAGTTTTTAGATTTCTTGGATGTAGCCATTTGATAAAAAAAGGCTTTTTAATTCACAAGAGTGCCATGGTCATTCTAAAGTACTCTTTGATGGACCATTATATTACCTGTCAGTGTCTGTGTGATGAGAGGGGCGGGGCCGAGAGCCATGGGAACGGAGCGAGTCCGGTGGAGTAAATGCTAATAAGTTTTGTTTGAACGTTCGCCGGTTCCCGCCTCCTTCTTCCCGAACTACGAACGTTGTTACAGTCTGTATCCCCCTGCACTGTATAAGGGACATTCTACCAGAAATGTACATTATCTGTCCTTGACTTGTTACAGTGAATAAAAAGTATTACATCCAAAAAATGTCTAAAACTGACTGATGGTAGATTTATGCGAGTTGTTCTGTAAAGGAATGTCATTCATTAGGTTCTCAGATATTTTTTAATTTATTAAAAACCCTTTTGAAAATTACAAATCCTGTTCTTGTCCTTGTCCCCAGCCAAACTGGACCTACAGCTTTCATAGTTTTGTTATGCTAAAAACTGTTATTTAGAAAAAAAGCTCAATCAATAACAAGTTTAAGTTGTTATCATTCACATCAACTGATTAAAAACATGAAATTATACATAAATTCTACAAATAAATTCTATTTTACAACTGTCCCCATGTTTTCGGTCAGTCCTGTAACGTTTACATAAAACTCAACATACAATGTGTGTAATGCGCCTTTAAAGGTATGACTCAAAGGAACTGAGATGGCATGATATGTGTTTCATATAGATTAACATGTCCTCCATATGACTCAACGTTCAGATTTAAGAATAAGATATTTTTTTCACCCAAGATTTTTACAAGTGGAAATGTACGTTTCTGGTAGAATGTCCCATAAATGGCAGTGTACAATATAACACATACAGTAATTCCTGTAAGTTTATGAAAGATGAATGCTCAATATTGATTATATTATATGTATAATATGGACCTGCCAAATTAAGCTTAACTCTTCACTATTTTTATTATATTATATTATTATAATAATTACATCTAATAATAAAAATAAATAATTAGGGGCCAAGCCACGAAGGGGCTGTAGCCCCTATTGTAATTGTTAGTTTTCTTACTATTCTTCCTCCCCACTGGGAGTCTATGGCAGTCCTATGAAGCGTAAGTAGGAAAATTATTACATTTGGCACACTTGTAGTGATGGTCATGAACAGTGATCTGATCTGACCAACTTTGGTGTCCCTAGGACCAACTCTATAGCGCCTCCACCAACTCAAATATTCACTTTTCAAAAGGTTACAACTTTTGAACCCTTTGTTCTAGAAAAATGTAACTTAGTACACCTGATTACTCTCCTCAAGACTCCACCCATTACAGTAGTGCTCCTCCTTCAAAATTTGCCAAATTCTTATGAGAATTTGGCTCAGATGATCTTTGGACCGAGCTGTACAGAAATGACTGAATAGAATTTACATTTTCTTCTTAGTTCAAAAGTTGTGATGTCACAAACGTAACAATGTCCACCCAAAATTGGTTCAGAGGCTGTATCTCGGCCAAACTTTGGTCAATTGAAACGAAACTTGGTATGATTCATCAGCACCACGATATGCCAAAGTTGGAAACAGCGCCACCTACAGGATATGAGATACCAAAAATTGACATTTTTGCTTATAACTTTTGAACAGTTTGTCAGCAAATAATGACCTTGGTGTCAATGGATTCCTTGAATTCTGCCAGGATCTGATCAGCTGCCTGTCTTGCTATAAATTGCAATATCTTTTGAACTATTTGACATATCGGCACAAAAATTGATAGGCATCATCTACAGCATGTCCCGGAGATACCTGAAAGAGAGATATAAGGATTTTTGCAAAAAGGCTTATAACTTTTGAAAACATTGTTCAAAATAATTTTTCTCTGTGTCTTTATTTTCCTTGGTTTATGCCGATTCTGACGTTAACTCATATGCCATTTTCCACCAATTTGTCTGGCCGCCATATTAAGGTAAATCAAAAACAGTTTTTTCGCTACTCCTCCTACAAATTGTCCAATTTTGTCCAAATTGTGATCAGATGATCTTTGAACCGAGCCACACAGAAATGACAACAGATTTTTGATATTTGCTTCCATTCCAAATAAATACCTCAACGAAGTTGACTGTGCCTGCATTTGTTGACTTTTGCTAGTTAGCTTAGCATGCTAATTGGTTGGCATTCTTTCTAATGTGACTCTTCAGCTATTAGGTTAACCATAAGCTACATTAACGTTAAGTTAGTTTAGCATGGTAATTTGGTCAACACATTAAGTAATGCTTTCATGTGCTCATTCTCACACTGAAAGTTCTCCTTGGCAGCCTGTTGAAGGAGTGGTGCGCTCTGTTAAGCCACTGGCCCAGATCGTGGCTTCGAATCCTGTGTGGCACCTAACATGCAGTGCTTTTATATACAAAAATATAAGAGTGTTTTGTGCTTTTGAGATGTTTTGACTGTTAAGTGTGATGTGCTTTGATGAGTGTGCTGTGATTGTTATGCTTGCTGTGCTTTCAGTAGCAGTGGTTGCTATGCTAGCTGTGCTTGCTGCACCTTCGGGGCTTAGCCCTGTATTGCTGATAGCAGCTATATTTATTATTGTATTTTATTCATAATAATTATAATTAATATAACAATGTAATTTGTTATTATTATTAATACAATTTTTAAATGATTATTTATTTGACTTATTTATTTAGTGTTCACAATCACAAGTATGGGATTTCATGCTCTTATTTACAACAAAGATCAGCTGTGGTTGGATCATGAGCTGCCAGATGTTCCTTGTTAAGATTTGAAAATATACAACATCATCAAAGGAGGTACTACATATTAGACTGTTTTACTACATTAAAACACAATGGTTCAGCTGTGTATTAATGCCTCTCACTAATGAGACTAGAATCTTGTTTTAGAAAGTCTTCATTAAACAATTCCAATTTATGTAAGAAAATGTTATGGCCTTGAGGTGAGCGATCAACAGTAATGCCTTATTTTTCCAATATAAATAACTTCTGTGATCCAATAGAAAATCTGACATTTAAAACATGTATAAAAGTCTACAATAATATGTCACAACACCTTCTCACCATATGAAACTTTTTTACCTACTTCAAAATAAAAGATATATCTTGATGACACTAGATAAAAAACAAACAAAAAACCTTGACTTTAAAAACTAACTTTATTTATCTTTTTTTTTTTTTTTTTTTTTACATTCTAGAGTGAATATCAGCTTTATATGAATCTGACATTTTTTGATGACCTTGAAAAACGGCAAACAATATGAGTGAAAAATCTCGATGTTTTAATTACAATTTTTTGAGAGGTGGGAGGTATATGGGAAAAGCTACGCATGGTATCTTTTTTTCTCTTTTTTTTTCATGATTTCACCTCATGACTAAACTTCCTTTTTTTGCAAGAGTTCCCTGTTCACATAACCACTGGCACTTCCCAAAAAAAAAACCCGCGGCGGGGGACCAATAGAGTTTTGTAACAATGCAGTGCATTGTCAGAAGCAAGAACTCTTTTTACAAAATGGTTAGTTTGAAATTTGTTCTATTTAAATCCCAGCTTTTCAACTTGTACATAACTATTCTGAAAGAGAGAGAGAGAGAGTTTGACTCTGGAGTTGTTCATGAAGGATAACAGTTATGGCGCTTTTATGCCCTTCAGCTTTTCTCTGTTTTATTGCGTTATATTGTATGTCATCTGTGACTGCAGAGAGAAGATTATTATGCTCCTCAGAACATCTTGAAATTTGGTACACCGTTGATGGTAAGTGGAATATCAAATACTTCATATAAACACACTTCAAATATATATAGGCCTATATAATCAAATGAATATAAGTCTGAGGTCAGTAACCTTTATTTGTTTAAGATTTTTATAATCACTTGATGGATTAATTTGATCAAAAATACAATAAAAACAGTAATATTGTGACATTGTTCAAATGTAAAATAACTGTTTTCTCTTTGAATATATTTAAAAATGTAATTTATTTCTGTAATGGCAAAGCTGAATTTTCAGCAACCATTACTCCAGTCTTCAGTGTCACATGATCCTTCAGAAATCATTCTGATATGCTGATTTGGTGCTTAAGTAACGTTTCTTATTATCATAAATTTGGAAAACAAATGTGCTGCTTAATTTTTGTGAAAACCTTGATACATATTTTTTTGGATTCTTTGATGCATAGAAAGTTCAAAAGAACAGCATTTTTTTAGAAATAAAATCATTTGTAACATTATAAATGCCTTTACTGCCACTTTTGATCACATTAATAAATCTTACTGACCCCAAACCTTTGAACAGTATAGTGTACATATTGGAAACCTACATATTAGTAATCCACAAAAGATGATACATGATAACATAAAAACAAATGTATTTCATAATGAACAGCCAATACTCTCTCTTTAATCAGGCCCATTGTATTACCTGTCAATGACCGGTTTCCCCTGCAATCTAGGAGTGAATTTGTATTCTGTAAAGTATAGAGTAATCCCAAGTAAGTTTGTGAAAGATTTTATGTTGATCATATAATATAGTTTTATTTATGGAACTGCCTCTGTTTAATTTAACTTTGTTAATTAAATTGATATAGCCTAACTACCTAACTTTGACATGATCTGTTGACATTTGCATTGTTTTTCAGTGTTCACGATCAGCCGTTTTGGATATCATGGTCTTATTTACTACAAAGATCAGCTGTGGTTGGATCACGTGCAGCCAGATGTTCCTTGTGAAGATATCAAATTATGTTACATCATCAAAGGAGGTACTACATGTTGGAATATGTTTACTGCATTATATTTTACTGTGGTGATGCAGCTGGGATACCGATGAGGTTGCTTTCTTGTTTCAGAAACACTTCATGAGACTTTTCCATTTTATGTGAAAAAGGTTTTTGGCCCTGAGGTGAGTAATCAACATAATGCTTCAGAAATTAAATGTATTAAACTACATACTATATATATGCTATGTACTATATACTATACACAAAGCTTTTTTTTTTTTTTTTTTTTTGCTGTTTTACTTTACAGGGAGAGTATCAGGTTTACCTGACTGTAAACATTGTTGATGACCTTGAAAACAAACTGACAATACAATTCAACATCACTATGTATGTTAAAAATGATGGCAATAAGAAAAACAAATTCTTTCCACATCTGGGAAGGCTATAGGACAAGCTTTATTTTTTTGAGGCAGATTATTCATTCTGTATTTTTGCTTCAGTTTTCTGACCAGATCAAGTGATCGTCAGTGGTTAACGAGTGTCACTCTAATGATAGCTCTAAAGTTCCTGTATTAGACATTCTGTCATTCTAGCAAATCCATCTCAAATTATTAATATGCAAACTGTTTGTTTGTGTAGTATTTTGATACCAGGTAGTATTTTTAAAGGGGTCATGTGATGCGATTTCAAGTTTTCCTTTCTCTTTGAAGTGTTACAAGCTGTTCGTGAATTGATAAGATCCCTAAAGTTGCAAAGACTAAAGTCTCAAACCCAAAGAGATATTCTTTATAAAAGTTAAGACTGGTCCACGCCTTCCTAAAACCCCTCATTTAAACATGCCCCCACATGTCTACGTCATGATGTGGGAAGATTTGCATAATGCCGCCCAAATGTTCACGCAAAGAAAGAAGGCATAACTTTATTGTTGCTGCCACCGCTGCCACCGCCGCCGCCGCCGCCGCCGCCGCCATGTTTTGAAGATGCTGTCTGTTTCGTTGCGAAAGCGAAAATACTTTGTTTGGCCTTCCAAAAGAGGACACGACTAGAAATCAGTGGTTAAGTTGTATTTACAACACTGTTCCAGAACAGTTCAACCCAAATATTCAGATGTGTCCAGCACATTTTATGGAGGACTGTTTCCTGATCCTGGGAGAGTAGACTACAATGCCGGCTGTTCTGACTCACAGACTGTAAGTACATTTTCATATTTAAAGGATTTGCCACTGAT